TTGCGATTATAGACGTACTTACCGACCGCCTAGCATGTATATGTTGAGGGAGCCGTCGTTGAGGGGTGCTGTGAATAAGACTAGGGACTCATTGAAGGAGCATGAGTGGGGGAAGAGTGGTTGTTCTATCATGACAAATGCTTAGTCAGATAGAAAGATGTGGTCGATCATGAACTTGTGCATCCACAACAGGCTAGGCACGACTTTCTATAAGTCGATTGAGTGTTCCGGGACTTGCACACGAGGAAATACATTTGAGTAGGTGGATGCATGCATTAAGGAAATTAGGTCACAGAAGATCATCCAGGTTGTTACAGAAAATGTTTCTGTAAATATAGAGGCGAAGGAGAAATTGAAGGAGAAGAGGCCAAGTATCTTTTGGACTAGTTGTGCAGCTCATACTATTGACCTGATGTTTGAGGGCGTTGAGAAGTGCCAACCTTCAAAACAACTATTGAAAAACGAAGGCCCTTACCGTCTTCATCTACAGCCATCATAAGATCTTGAACAAGATGTGCATGTGTGAAATGAGGGGGATTGTTAGACCCGGAGTCACTCGCTTTGCCACTACATTCTTGACCCTGCAGAGTGTTCATGAGAAGAAGTTGAAGCTAAGACTTATGTTTTCTATTGAAGAATGAAGAAAAAGCAAGCATTCTAAGACCGCAAGGGTAGAAAAGTGGAGGTCATTATCTTGTGTGAGAGTTGGTGGCAATCTGTAAATAAGCTATTGAAGATCTATGCTCCCATTTTTCGCATGTTGAGGGTGGTCAATAGCAACTATAGACCCTCAATGAGATTTGTCATGGGGATGCTTGAAGACACAAAGAAGATGATCAAGCTTGTTATGAAGAAACATGATAGCCTATGCAAGTCGGTGATTGATATTATTCCAAGTCTGAGAATCGATTATATACACCTTTGCATATGACAGCTTATGTTCTTAACCCTTACTACTTCTTTCGAGATGATGTTGCTAATAACTTTAGGGAGGGGAAGGAGGTGTTTCTAAATGTGGTGGAGCTGCTCTATCCCGATGAGGAACACAAGGTTAAGGTTACTAATGAGTTCATGGAGAAGTACAGAGAAGGTAATGGCTCATTTGGTAGAAGTTTGGTATTAAAATCTAGGCAGAAAGTGGACTTCAACCTAGATAAATTTAGTTTATAAATTGAATATATCAAATTATCAATCATAAGTTAATTTTTGTACTAGTGAATTTAACTGAAACAATGTGTTTGCAGCTAGTTTGTGGTATATGCATAGCGGTAATTGTCTCTTTCTGCAAAACTTAGTGATCAAGGTTCTAATCTCACTAGCAGTTCTTCCGGACACGAAATAAATTGGAGCACATTTGAGGGGTAAATTACATAAATATCTAAAATTAATAAGATGAAGTTATCCAATTATGACTTTACTAATTTGTTCTTTTCTTCTTTAAAGATTCACACGAAGAAGAGAAACCAATTGGAGTCGAAGAGGTTAGAGGATCTTGTGTTTGTGAAGTTCAAGTAAAAGAAAAGAGAAGAAGACAAAGACATACTAACAACACAGGAGCACAACGCAGGATCGTACTACAACACGTGCATGGATCCTAGATGGAGTCCCCTCTGATAACGAGGAAGAGACTTATCCCGGTTCGGGTGTTAGTTGGACGTTAGCAGAGAATGTATCTGGAGCGGCTGAGGTTACGGCGAACCAGAAGAGTGAAAGAATAGCAGGAGCTACAGGACCTTCAATGATTACTAGCGAAGAAGAGTCTCTTGCCTCCGACGATGATGTCACGAACAAGGATGAGGACTTCGTGGACATGAACTTAAAGGAGAGCGATCATGCGGGGAAGGATTTCCAAGATGACGATGATTGCCGATGATTTCATTAGATTGTGTGATTATCCCATGCTAGACATTTAGACTATTCATATTTTTTTCCTTTCTTGAGCATTAGACTTTTGAGTTTGCAATATTATTTACTATTGCGATGACTTGTTATATTGGACATGATGATGTTTCTTAGTATTTGGTTACTAATTTGGCTATTTAGTATTTATGCACAGTTGATTATGGATCTAAGCTTGTTATTTATGAATTTTTACGAATTTTATAGGAACTTAATACATATTTTTATGAATTATTATAATTAAATAAATTAATAAATAGGCAAACGCCTCGGCGCCACTAGGTGCTAGGCCCCGGCTCGAACGTCTAGTTCGCCTAGCGTTTTCTGTAACATTACTACTCGATATCGGGAGCTTATTAGAGCATTGATTTATCTTTCTGCAACACATCCGGATATTGCCTTTGTTATACGCATCTAGAGCCAGTTTGTCAATACTCTTACTTCCACTAACTATGTAGCTCTCATTCGAGTTTTTTGATATCTCTGTGACACTATATCCCGACCATTATTTTTCCATCCGACTCTTCTTTATCTTTTTGTACATATTCTGATGTTGGATGGGTTGATGATTCGAACACTCAACGTTTCACTACTAGATTTTGTATTTTTCTGGGACCATCTCTCATCTCTTGACGCGATAAGCATCAAGCTGTTGTCTCTCGCTCTAATATAGAGTCAGAGTATGGGGCGATAACAAGCACCACAATTGAGCTAAAATGGCTCTGTACTCTTTTACGAGATCTTGATGTTCTGTTTCTTCTCCTATCACTCTATAATGTGATAATCAGGGTGTCATCTCTATTTTCACAAATCCGGTGTCTCATGAGGGCACCAAGCATATTAAAGTAGATTGTCATGTTGTTCGACAAGAGCATGTTGCCGGTAACATTATTCTCTCATATGTTGCTTCTAAGGATCAAGTTGCAGATTTGTTTACCAAAGCTCAAATCATTCCTCAATTTCATTCTTTCTTATCCAAACTCTTGATTTTGGATCCAACATGAGCTTGTCGGGGACTGTTAAAGTCATACCTACAATGTCCACCAGCCTACTGGCTTATGCTACAATATCACATGCCTACGCAACACCTAGCCACATCTACAGTGCCACCGGCCCACGCTATGTTACTCGCCGATACTACAGTGTCCACCTATCATAGTTACAGTAGTCGTCGATGCTACAGTATCCTCCTACCACACCTCATGCTATATTATATAACTGTGTATATATATAGATGTAACTTACCGAAACGATAATTCAATGACAAAAATTATTTCTCATTCATCAGAGCTACCATTCAACTCTATCACATAATCTCTATTATCTAATCTTGGTCTTCACTCAAATCTCCAAAATCCTAACCTAGCCACCATCACTCTCATTGTCACCGGCTATGATGATCATCACCATCACCTCTTAGCTGCTGCTCAGGCCATTAACTCCTCCATTCATAGCAAAAATAAAGCCACAGCCTCTTCTTCGAACCCATTTTTGGCCAGAAGCTTTTAGTAAAGCTTTTGGCAAAGTTAATTTGAGATATCAAGTTAACACTAAAGGCTACTCACTATTAAGAGCTCTCATCCACAGACTATCATTGTTGTCTCATGGGATCCATCTGTTCTTTTGTCCTCTAGTAACATCTTGTGAACCCTAAGTCACTTTTAAGACCCCATAGTCTTTACTTCTCCCAGTAGGATTTAAAACTCTTAAATTGAGTTGTCTGTTGCATATTAAAAGTGGTCCACTTGCTTGATACCTATTATTCCTTCAGTGATCGAAATTTCCCCACTATCGTCTCTTTGTAGGGGAAGGGGACTTGTTTTGGGCTTTGATGTAGATGCAGAAACTAGCTGTTTTCAAAGAGCTTTCTTGACCTTTATTTGTTTAAGACCTAAATTCACCCAAAAACAAAAGAAAAAACCTAACTGTCATTAGCGTTGCGCTTGGAGGCAGGAACCACATGCTCCGCACACCCAAAATTTCAGCATCATACCTGTTGGCCTCTTCTGTTGAGCTCCTTCTTCATATCGGTGACATTTCAAAACTCATTGCCATCACATCCGAAATTTTGGCTAAGACTCATGTCTCTTTCTATTATACGAGATATCTTCTTCACGGCCTCAACATCAACCATTGATATTTTCCTCACAACGAGCTTCTCTTCTTTACGGTCTTAGCATCAACTATTAATAGTTTCTCTGTCGATGTACAAGGGTTCCTACCCCTTGCTGTTCAATCTCGTTGTCACCAAGAATTTCTCATTTGATGCACAAGAATTCCTATCCCTCGCCATTCATCTCGTCAACATTGAGTTCTCCTCCATCGATGCCCCTAGATTCCTATCCTACATGATCAATGATACAGCCATTGGGTTTTCTCTTTATCGGTACTCTTGGATTACATCCTACATTATCGATTTTGTCATCACCCTTAGACTCTTTCATCGACGCTCAGATACGCATCTTTTGCACTTCTGGCTCTTATTATCCAAACTCTCGGTTTTTTATCCACTGTGAGTTTGCCGGAGGCTGTTAAAGTCACACAAGCTACAATACTACCGGCTAGATGTACAGTACCCTCCGACCACAGCTACAGTGCAGCCGCTAACTATGCTACAATGCCCTACCTATCATGTGCCATGCTATTAGTCTATTAGCCACTCTATCTTCTCACCACTCTCTCTCAATGTACATATATATCGGGTCTCTTACCCAAACATAAAAAAGGAAATATAGTTCTCTCTCATAACTCATTTTACAAAAACAACAAGTAATCATTAGAAAATACCAATGTGGACACTCAATCAAGCCAAACTAGTGCTCTTCAAGAAAAACCAAAGAAACATAGGGGTAAAAATCGAGATAGGAAAGCTAAAGGTTAGAGAGCAATTGAAGTGGTAGAGAGTTCTACACGTTTAGCTGTCGGTAGATATTCATATTAACCAGTATTAGCCTATCCACCTAGATAACAAGAGCAAAATGTACATTAGTGGCTCAGGAAAAAGAAAAAGAGGAGGGGGGTGTACACAGTTTTGCAAAAGAAATCACTTGAAATATCAAGACAATGTTTAGTGAATATATGACTCCACAAGGAAAACAAACCTTTTCTAAAATGGTAGGTTCCGTCGCATTTGCCAACTCAAGTAGACGAAACAGACCTATTGCGAAGAACCGACTGTAGCTGAAATTTCCCTTACCCTGGGCCCTCTCAGCAATGTCCTTCAAGATATCTTCAACTTCCCCGTCCCTTGATGAGAAATCTACTAATGAGGTTGCATTTTGAGCACGGGCCCACTCTTCCAGTTTCCTTGCATCACTTCTGAAATAGGCTAAAACAGTCTATGAGTATTCTGAAAACAGAATAGGCATTGAACCAAGCTTTAATTTAGCCAAGAAAGCAGACTGTGCAGACAAAGAGAATCCCACCCATTATCATAGTAACTGTAAGATTCTTCTGAGTAGCGAATATGAGCAATTCATATTGACAATATCTGCCTTTAGTCTTAAGTGTCAAAACCCATAAAATATACATATAACCATCAATATGAAACCTGAGATATTGATGGTCATATCCAGCAGATATTACAGTGAATGCCTTCTAATCTTTGTCAAACAAGACAGGAGTGAATATCAGTATTATTGACCCCAACATAAAGGGACCCTAAAGATGGTTACATACACGAAAATTTAATTTAAATAGAAAAAAGAGAGGAATTAACTGTAATGTGCACTAGAAAATTCAATTGTACCTAATACAAGTTTAGTTCAGCTCTAGCTCTTTTGCCGAAGTACAAATCTTAACAAATCGAGATACCATATGCTAGTAATCAAAATAGAATCGGACCCAATGCTCAGATTTCTTACACCAATGTATACGAAATGGAAGGGAAGGAAAGATAAAGAGAAAACTGAGCAGGACTAATCGTATGATTCAAGATATGGAAAATCAAGAATTACAGTCATAACCAATGGAGATAGACTCAGCAGTAAAATTTGATTTCCATGCAAGCATTTGTGGTTCAAATATTGCGGATGCCATTGGTTTAGAGAAAGAAGCAGAATCTTCCAGATGTATTCATGTAAATAATAACTTGAATGTGGCTAAATTTTGTAATTCCCAACTTGGCGTAGTGCTGCCAAAAGAAATTTCCATTATATCTAACTTATGAAACTAAGTTTAATCTAAACCCCACGAATAATAACCATTTATACGGTTACAACTCTCCTATCGGAAATTCAAAAGGTAAAGTTGGAGAATAAATTCTTTTTGAGCTCATACGAGAAGCATTTAATTCACTTGGGCTTGAGTTAAATAGAAGAGATTGGATAAACTAAATAGAGAAAAGGTTAAACTTCTTCACTGTCCTAGAGTTAGAATACAACAATCAACAAAACCTATTATTAGTACGACGGGTAGTAGCAGCAGCATATCAATAAATACCACAGCGAAAACTATTATCAAATGACAAATAGTAGTAGCATCTCAACTAATCCCTCTTTTCACAAGCAAAACTATTATTAAAGCGACAGATACTAAGAGCATGTCAATTCGTCCCTCCTCCTCTACTTAGAACAGCGCAGATATCTATATTCAGAGCAGACTTGCTACAGATTAGTGAAGGAAAAAACCTGTATGTTTCAGGATCCTCATTTAGAGCCTCAATGTAGGCTCTGAAAATAGCATCCTGATCTTCATCGCTTGGATAGCCTTCCATTAACTGTTCATAGACAGTGACGAAGCCAAGTGCAAAAATGGCATCATACTGATAAGTTCTTTTGTACCTCAACAGATGTTGCTGAACAAGAAGCTCCTGCAATACTGTATTGTATATGCTTGGGATGGGCCGTTTGTAGGACTTGAGAAATTTCATTTTTGTCTCGGACACCGCAGGCGGGACACCTAGGAAAAGGAAATACCAGATAATGAAATTTCCCTGTATCTGTTTGTTTAGTGAATAAACATGTGCAAGACACTGAATAAGAAAATAGACATAGAAGAACCCTTCTTTTCTGTTTAAGTACAAGAAAATAAATCTTTCCATAGACTGTTGTACAAGTTGCATGAGATATCAAGTAATTAACCTTACCAATCAAAGGAGAGTAACATATTGACATCCACGTTATTTTTATTCCAATGAAATCACATAGTTTTTAAGGTGTTTATTCACGGAAAGATATAAACAGAAGAGAGCTGACCAGCATATTGTCAGCATATTATAACAGGAGAATGTGCAAGTGCCAACTTTGGTGCAGATTATGGCATCACTGTGCATGTTGTGCCATCATAATGAGGGTCCACACTGTTAAAAACATCCCTTGATAGCCTTTTAAATCCTTAAGAGACACTAGATTGCAGAATGAACTAATTAAGTTAATGCAAACTCCCAAGTCCGTGCAAATTTTTGAAAAAATAAAGATCTATATGGTCATGTACTCTCTTCAAACATAACAGTGTTAACTCCATTGCACGGGGACAAGGTTTAATCAGCTTGATTTCAACAGCTTGGAGAATAAATAACCGAATCAAGTTGCACTGAGTAAACCATGTTATTAATTTGGAGAATTTTTTAAGGCCCTGGTTAAGAAAATATTTGGATTAAGCCTATCATCTGACAGAGTTATATGACACACCCGCAAGTTAAGGAAAAATTGGAGAGAGAAAAATCGCCTCACTTTACTTGCATAGTAGTATATTCATCTTCAAATATGTGCGTATTTGTATATGGTAAAGACCAAGTAGTTAAAAAATATCCCTCCTTACTTAGTCAGATAAAAAAAGACTAACAAATTGACACTTAAAAAATGTCAGGAAACAAAGAGATGCTAAGAGTTTACACAACAATTCCTTCGTAAAATCTGCAAGAAAGAAAATTGAGGTGGGCAATTCTTTTTCTCTATTCCTCCACAAAACTATTCAGGTCTTCTTCAATAATTTTTTAAAAATATATACATATCAACAATTTTTACTTTATTCATCAAGTCGTTTCAGATCTAAATTAAAAATCAAGTCTTTCACTATGCACCTGCTCCTATATTTGAGATTAAGGACAGTAAACTACAAGATTGAGCTAGAGAGGTTTTGCCTGATTTTCAGTCGAGGGGCTTGAACCAAAATTTCCCGGTTAGTTGTTATCTAGTTTAAAAAAACTCACATTAAAGGAACGAAAATCTTATTTCATATAAGCGGGGTCGAATTCATCATAAAATTAGTGACTTTTCCCCGAAAGAAATTAACATCAAGTGACTTGGAGCAACAGACAATGCATATTATATTGATTTTTTTTATCAACAACTGTGAAATAATTTGTTGAAAAAGAAAAACTTTTTCTAGCAATAAGCAATGCATCAAGCAAAAGTCTACACAAAGAGATCCATAACTACAGCAAATATTGTGCTTTTACCTGTTAAAGGAAACAGATTAGTCAATACTTAAATCCCAGTCATAAGATCAGAAAACTATATATATATATATATAATAATCCACAAATTCTCACCACTTGTGCCTACAGAACAGCGAACGATCAGTCGAGCACTCAAATTACGAGCTTTGGTCCTGAAGCCACCGAATCCAGTGGGCCCCACGAATCGAGCAGCAGAGGAAGAGAATCTCCGATCAGATGAGTGCCCGAGATAGGCGAAGGATACAGAGGCGATGGCCGCCATTTGGGGTTTTAATGATTAGGGTTAGGGTTTTTCACTTTTCAAGAAGTGAGATTTATGGGCGTAGATCGCATTTGGGCGCGGGAGAGGGGGGGAGAGAGAGAGAGAGAGAAAGAAGGGAGAGGCTGCGAAGAGAGTGAAGTCTTATCCGGTATTTCTCCGAAGAAAAACCCAAGAACGAACAATGGCCTCTAGGATTTGGACAATTGGATGAGGTTTGGTCGTGATATCTGAATGGCCCAACTTGGCTCGTACTGAACTCAAGTGTCTTCCGAAAATTACCCATCCATCTGAATAATTCAGGCTTATGCCTACTAAAATCTATATTTCTCTCATAAATGGTTCTGTCGGACTTTTTTTAAGGACTAGTTTTTACACACATGCAATGCCCGTGATTTAATACCATGATTAAGTATTTTTGGCAGTTTGTACTCATTTTTTTCTTTAAACTCTTACATCCCAATTATTTTTTTATGTTTGTTTAAATGGGATACACCCAATTTAAATTTTCATGTTGATATTTGAATTGACAAAAAACAAATATAATTTAAAAATAATTTAAATTTTCATATTATTTTTTACCGATATGAAACTAAGCTTTATTTGAGAAAGTATAGCATTGCAAAGTGAAAAATATTAAAATAGTGTTATACAAGGAAGGTGGATATTTAAAACCAATATGGCAAAATGATTGATTTAAAGTATGTTAAAACGATACAAAAGAGAATATGAAGTTTATTCCTAATCATTGATAGACTTCATAAAAAAATATAAATTAAAGATTAATGCTAACTCTAGTATATTTTTATATGATAAAAACATCCACATAAGAATATAAAAGTAATGAAAAAAATTCATGAAACTCCCTTCTAAAGATTCCTAATTTCACTCAAAATAATTAAACTATTCTATAAAATATTCATAAAATATTGTTTTTATTTCTTCTATTTTATTTTTTATTGAGTTAAGATCAATCCTTCTTCAGGTTTATCATTTATCATTTCTCGGACAATTCTACAGTATTGTCTTCATCATCTACATCAATTGTGACATCAGGCTAATTTTGTATTTTTTATGCTATTATCTTTCCTAGGCTCGTTAATTTTTTATCATCTCATTTAATTTTACAAAGAAGTCAAATGTACTTATGATGTTCAACACAAACTGGTCAAAATATAGACTTTGATTTTTTTCTATTTTAATGAGAATAAATATTAATTTCATATATATAAAATTCTTTGTGTTCCTAATTTATTACTTAAATAAATTAGAAGCTATCTCTTTATTTTCCTCTAAAATGAATTCTTCTGATGTGCATCCAATAAGAATTTCTGTTATTTCAATAATATTACCTTTGTTCTATCCCTGTCATTTTCCATAAAGATCTAAACTAAATAAGAATTTCTGTTATTTCAATAATATTACCTTTGCTCTATCCCTGTTATTTAAATAAGAATTCTTCTGATGTGCATCCAATAAGAATTTTTGTTATTTCAATAATATTACATTTGCTCTATCCCTGTCATTTTCCATAAAGATCTAAACTAAATACCTGCATTACTCATTACCAATTTCTCTTAGATTATAATATTAATATTTAATTTGAAGAACACAGTATGGAATTTATGAATACTTACTAATTTTTCTTATGTCTTCCATGGAGATTTTTTCTTTGATTAGGATAAAGTTATTAAATTATTTTTTAATGTAACTCATTCAGTGCTTCATTAATAGATATGTCTTATGTTAATGCCAATTCAAATGATTCATTGACGTTTTCTGAATTTTAGATTTATTTCCATCACTTTCCCATTTGCAATGGAAATAACTCAATTCTTTTAAAGTTATCTCTAAATATTCTAATAGTTTATCTATATGTAATTCTTTGTATTCTTTTACCCTATAAATATTATTAACGTCAAATATTAAAGTTTCTAAATTAAAATCAATTAATGCTAAGGTATAATATTATAGTGTTTTATCATTTTTATGGATTTAAACATCTATCAATTAATGTTACGAATGTATTTTGGCTACCCCAACTTATTACTAAAATTATATGAAATTACTTTAATTTATATAGTGCCGATAATTTTTAATCTATAATATTTTTAAAAATTTTATCCATTAACCGGATGTTTTTAATCAATTCTTATTGTTTTTGTTTACCAGTATCAACTTAGACTATTCTTAGATGCTGAAAATGGATAGTAAATCCCTAAATTAGAAATTTTAATATATATATATATATATATATATATATATATATATATATATATATATATATATATATATATATATATATATATATATATCCAATCGACGAATTTGATGTGTGCTAGTTAAAAATTTTGAAAATTTAGAGTTTTTTTTTACGATTTTTAAATTTTGAAGGAGTTTTTTAAAATTTTGAGGTTAATTTTGGAAAATTTTAATTTTTTAGGTGTCTAAGGGTAATATCTTGAATTGATCTTATTTTATTTACAAATTTTAGGTTTTTAGGGTGGCTTTTTATAATTTGAACTTTTGAAGGTGTTTCTATAATTTTTGAGATATTGAGGGTGTTAATTAAAAAATTTAAATTTAAATGTCAAAATTTTTAGGTGTATCATGGTAATCTCTTGAATTCATATGTGTTGTTTGTAAGTTTTAAAATTTTAGAATTTTAATGTGCTTATTTTTAATTTAAACTTTTGAGGGTGTTTCTATAATTTTTGAGACATTGAGGTGTTAACTATAAATTTTAAATTCTTTGCAAACTGATGTTAATTTTTTAATTTCATGTTTTTTATTTTAAGTTTTGAGACATTTGGATGAGTTTTATAATTTTGAACTTTTCAGGGTCTTTTCTGCAATTTTAAAACTTTTTATGGTTTTTTTGCAATACTTCATGTATTATAATATGTTATCTACTTGTAATTTCTTTATCTTAACAAACTAATATCATTTTTATGTTTTATATATTTTATTAATATTAGTTTTTTTAAATTGTTAAGCTAAACATGATTCACATAGGATTAGGATAAGATATGACTATGATTAGGATAAATTAAGATATAAATAAAATATTCTCAAAATAGTGAAGGGTAATATTGACCATTGAAAATTAGGATTTGATTATAGATAAAGTAGTTCAAACTATAAAGGGGTATATTTGTCTAAAAAAGATTTTCCGAACTCGTGCTTTTAAAGGGAGTATGATTAAATTATCAGATTGATATCTTCTTTTACAATTTGTTTTTTTTTCTTTGGCTCCGGGCAACGTTTTGATATTTTTTTTCTATGCCGAATGTGTAATTAGACACAAAACTTCATCACCGACGGAAAAAAAAAAAGCCACGAGCAATCACGTGATGGTGTTAGTTTTATCTTATATTTCATGAGGAAAGTGTCAAAAGATTATTTCAGGACATTGGTATGAGAGTAATAATTATGCCCATAAGCTTATGCAAAAATGTTGAATCCACTACGAAGAAGTAAATTTTAGCAAAAAATGGGAAGGATATGATATTATCTACAAATATAGTAAGATAAAGGTTGTGAGGCTAAAAACGCTACAAGGAAAAGATTTCGCGGTTTGTTTCCCACCAGAGGCGAAGTTGTAGGTCTCATTGCGCATTTGCCTCAAAATAAAAAAAAACTAAAATGACGGCAGATCTAAGAAAAATACCAAACTAGTAAGAAGGATGTACAAAAATATCAATATAGTACTTTAGCCCATTTTAGCATGCTAGCAAATTGTCAAAGCGTCTCACTTTGAGATGGTGGACGAGTAGCTATTTTTGTCTTATAATTATAATTCGCCAAAAAATAAGCTAGGATACAAGGTCATGGGGTTTAGCCAAGTAAAAAATAATTATACTTTTTCTAGTTTCACAAAATCGTATGCCTAATTTAATAACTCAATGTCAACCCCATATCCCTCATTCCCTCTTCATCATTTTGACAACAAGAATGTCTTCCCATTTCCCAGATGCTCTAAATTTTGGAAGTGAATTTTAATAATCTATTATAGTTACTAAACGCTATAAACTATAATCCTCACGTCTCAACCATGCTCTTAAGAATACAGAACTCTGTGAACCTCAAATTATTCCTGTCTACAATCAAAGTGGTCAGGTGGGTCTTTAAATCATACTTGATAATTCTCAAAACTTGATAAGCTTCCTAACAAGAGCACTGACCAACGCTATTACTTGGTGCACCAGGCTGAATGAGCCACGTAGGAATCTCGCATCCTCTGCAATATATAAAAAACAAGAGCATAAAGCGTTTGTTTCTCACATTACTGAGATGACCTTTTCGTGCATCATCTTCGAATTGAGCCCCTCGAAAACTAGCTTCCGAGGCAATTTGAACCGCATCTTGGCAATAATTCCGAATTTAGAGATAAATTTAAAGAAGCCCAGCTAGTTGGCCCTGTCTGGATTGCTCTCCGGATTTGAGCTTTCATTCTTTCTTAACGCCCATATATTATTCTTCTTCTAGTTAATATACTAATTGCAGCCCCCCTTCGTGTAGGATGTCACTATGTTAGGGTTGTCCAAATGGGCCGGCCTGGCCCGGCCTGGCTCGGATTTTTAAGTTCGGACCGGGTAAAATATCTAGCTAGGACCCAAACCCAGGGTGTCAGGGCCCGGGCTAGCCCGGATTGTTTTGTACTTTTATATTTTTTGCTAAAATTTAATTTAAAAAGTAGATTAATCTTATTATATTTAAATATGTATGTATGAGTATATATTTATATATTAGTATATAGCTATATATTATATGTAAGTATATATAAATATACATTAATGACCAAATCATACTATAATTATATATAGTATACATTAGAAATATATATGTAAGTATATATGAGTATATATTAATAACAATATACACTTAATAAGAGTATAAGCATTAATAACTATATGCATACTATATATATATATATATATATTATATATATATATAGTATATATATAGTATGATATAGTTATTAATGTAATACATTATTAAGTTGTATTATTGAGTTATATAATAGTATATATATATATATATATAGTATATATATATATATAATATATATATATATATATATATATATATATTAGTATATTATATATAGTAATATGATATATATATATATATATATATATATATAAATTAAAACAGGGTATTGGGGGGCTGGGCCTCAGGGTCCGGGCTTCAGAACCACTTC